TGGGATTCTTATCTGGGAGAAAGGTACGTCAGCAGAGACGAGAGGAAGGTACAATAAAAGCTTGTGAGATCTGAGATGAAGAAGTAACCTGGAGATGGCGCTTTTTGGTGTCTGGTTTTGTAGTAGAAGCAAGGGGGTGGTGGTATTATAGCGGAAGTTAAACTGTGCTGTTAATTGTCACGGTTTGCTGTGAAAACCGAAAATAAATTATTTAGGAATTAGAAGAGTTAGTGGAGGAAAAGTCCCTCGATTATTTGTCACATAGAACGGTCCGGATGCAATCGGGAAGACATCTTTTATTAGGCAGTGAGTCAGATGGAACTAGCGAGTTTTATGGAGTTTGATCTGAACCAGGGGTTTCCGTTTTATGGTTTGGTTGGGGGATTAGTCTTGTTCCACAGTGGGATTTGAGTGTTCTTTCCAGAAGTGGAGAATGTGTTAATTGGTTTTGTTAGTGTAGTGAGATGACCGAACTTGTGACGGTATTTTTAGGAATGTGTCATTACAGCTTTTTGTAGTGGGAAATGCAGGAGGAAGGCTTAGTGGCTGGGATGTAGGCTTTGACCCCTAGAGGCTTTAGGGTTTTACCACAAACTCCCAGAGTTTAATTATGACCCTGAACATTTAATTCTGAGGCAGTTTTCATGTCTCACAGCATTGTCTCTCTTGATCTTCTGTCTAGTCAACACAGAGATTGAAGTTCTTGCAGAAGGACGTTCATAGACTTAATCAGGTATCGCTCCAGCAGTGAGTTGTACCCCAGGTCCCTTCCCTGGTGTAATGAGTCCGAGGCATTTTGGAAGTGTTGGAATTATTTGTACCATGTATTCACAATAGACATAGTCATGTGCTAGAGGAGCCCTGATAGATGGTGCACCTACGCTTCTATACTGATTCATGAGGAGGTGTCACTGAGCCGATGGAGTGCTGCTGAACTGCACAATTAACTGTGATATGCATATATGCTTTGTATAGGTTAGCTTGATACCTAGGTATGTTTCTAAAGTGGGATCCTAAGGAAGAAAACATAAAGGAAACTTTTGGTAATATAATGCGGGAAAAATATGGATGTTTCAAGTTATGAAACTATTACTTTATAGATGAAAATAGGTGTTGTTTGGAAAGTAGTATAGGAGTCAGTAGTACTTAAGAATGGTGATCTCTGAACTAGTGAGACATTGATAAATCCTTGTGATTCAGTGCTATTCAAAAGCAGCCACTGAACTTTCTGTTCAGGTTGGTTCAAGGGCAACCAGCTTGATGATATCTGTCCGGGGGTAATCTAGAATATACTCTGTGATGTCATATAAAAGTCTGAAATTAAGGCCTACTACTAAGTAGATTTACCACTTTTTTTTTTTTTTTTTTCTGTTTATGTTGTGTAAAGAGCGTTACTTCTCTTCTGTGTCTGCATTGTGAAGTCTTATCAGACTGGTGATCAATTAAGATCTTGTCTTGGTGGACACTAAGACAGGCCCAGGATTATTTTAAGTGAACACTTCTTCCAAAGATGAGAAAGTTCCTGAATGAGAGTAACTATAAACAGGTTTTAAACATTTCAAGATATGGTGTCATCTTGCAGACTTTTCAGTGTAGAATTTGTTTACTATTGTTTTTTCCTCTCTCTTTCTTCCCATATTGATTGTGTTTCCTTTTCTGTCTTTTATTGCCATGTGGGGAAAAAACACCTATTTGGATTGTAAGTTAATTGACTCTGATGGGGGGGGGACTTGATGACTACAAGGGAAAAAAACTCAGTTTCACTAAGTTTTGTATTTCATTTGCATGAAATGGTTATTAAGTTTGTAATACTTGTCAGAAGACAGCAACAGTCCCTTTTTTGTCATCTGGTTGCAACAGCACATATCTAAACATAGCAAACAAGTGATACATTAAGAAAAAGAAAAAATTGAAAAAATAGTCTGAGGGAAGTATTAAGTGCAGTAGCAATTTTGTTTCCCTGCTATTTCATCTGAGAACAATATATAAGAAGTTGTCTATTTTTTTTTTGTACCTAACCATTGACTTAAGTGTGAATTGAGGGCTTTGCATCTCTTAAGTGTTGATGATCTGCACCTTCTTATGTATTTGCAAATCTAGTGATAATTTTCTTTACACCATGCTGATGTTTGAGTTGCCTTTTTTTTTTTTTTTCACTTCCAAGCTTTGTGAGCTTCTAGTCTGCCATGCATAAACTTTCATTTTTTCTGTAAATGGTATCAGCTAACACTGTGGTGTTGAAGCTAAGTTCATGTGGTTTATATTAAGTCCTTAGTTAAAAGGCAGTGTACAAGATATGCAATTGTAAGTCAGGGTTTGGAATGGAAATATGTTTAAATAGTTTAAACAAGATTAAATAGTTATCTGTTTCTCTTTTTTTCCAGGCTACTGTTCCTCTGAGTCACCTTATCAATGCCTTTCATTCACCAAAAAGCTCCAGTACTGCTGCCAGCACAGCATCTGTAAAGCCTGTCCAGAGGGACACGTCTCCAGAACACGATCCTCAGAAGAGTGAGGTATTGAAAACCTTTGGAAAAAGTGGTGGTTTGCTTTAGCTGAAATAAATCTGAACAGTATCAGTTAAAGTGAATTTAATATTTGATTCATTTTATAAAATAATGTAATGTGACTAAATGAAACAGTGTTAACGCATAGAATGTAACTTTTTGACAGAACTTCAGTAAGTCGGCGCTTTGACCATAAGGATTCTATGAAAATACAGTATTTCATTATAAGAAAAAAAGCTAGTGCTTATCCCAGTAGTAATTTGGAAGCGAGGAGGCGATTTGTCTTCACTTTCAACTTAATGTTTGTTGCTGTAAAGTAACAATAACTTTTCAGTTAATAAACCCCTTATTGTCTTTTCGTGCTGTGAGTTCTAGCAAAGTTTCTTTCATTATTACTTGCGAGAAACGGACTGTAATTTAAAATATGTTGAGGAGTTTTGAGAGATTAAATGGCATATTAGCACATTTTCTTGTTTTTCTGCTAAGATCTAATTCAATATCATCAGGTATTTTTTGTTCTTCTTATTGAAAACCAAAATACAGAACGTGCCAAGTAGGATCAGATTTTGCCATTTCTCTTTCAACTAATTTCTTACAACAAGTTTTATAAATAAGAAAATGTTTGGGAGGAAAAACATGATGTCTCTCACTAACTGGACAACTTTGGAAATCAGCGTGGATTGTACTAATCATCCCTGTGTTGTGATTCCATTGTTTGTTTTTTTTTTGGTGATTCTTTTATTTGCTTCTCATGATAAAAATTGATTTTATTGGGAGACCTGGATTATTGAAGGAGACTGAAAGTGTGTTTCATTTATTCAGTTCTCTTATTTGTCTTTCTACTCAACAAGAGAAGCTGGTCTCCATTAAATACAGAGGCTTTTTCACTTTAAATATTTTCTCTCTAATTCATTGTGCACCTGTTTGCCTTCTTTTAGCATGATAAAAGTATAAAAATAATAATTTTTAAAATCTCTCTTAATTAAAGGAACTTTATTTTTAAAGAAAATTCTTAAAGCAAGTTGATTAGACTATAATAAACCTAAGCATAAATAAAGGTTAAGTTCAAATTTAAAATCAGCAGATACTGACATAGTACATGTAGTTCTAATATTGAATAAAGTCGAACTATTGGAATGGCAAAAATCATTATTTGAGAATATGAAGCCTCTGTGCGGTGAAGTTAAATCTGTATTTGGAAGTAGTAACCTCTGCTGAAGGGCCACAGAAAATGTTACTTTTTTTTTAATCTCCTCCCCCCGAGGAGGAGATTAAACCGAAATAATTTCAGTTATTTTGCAAGCAATTATTAAGCTGAAGCGGGAAGGCTTGATCTACTACTTTAAACCATGTGTAAAAGTCAGATGATGTTTAAAAATGTAGTTGTACTTATTTTGAGTATAAGTGGACCAGAAGCAATCTATGCATGCCTTTAAAACAGAATTGTTTTGTTTACTTAAGAAGTAAATTTTAAACAATAAACTTTGAATATGGTAGTATTCTCGATGCTCTAGGAATCTGCTCTAAAAAGGCTTATTTTTATATTTTATTCAGCTATTTTTCATGTATGTCTTTTTATTGGAAATCTAGTTTCACCTTGAAAGTAGGTCAACATAAAGCTTACATAAAAGCTATTTAGGAAAAACAAAAATATAATCCATAATGTTCTATCAATCAAAAATTAAATATCTATGCAAATACATTTAGAATAGCTTGTCATGTTTACTTCTCAGATAAGAAGATGATGTTGCAGAAGCAATATTGAGAGGTAATAGATATTTTAAAGGATCCAAACTGATGTGTATTTTAAAACATACACTCCCATATGAGGACAGGAAGAAAATATACTTGCCATAAATGTACTGCAATAACAAAAATATCGATGTGTACAAATGGAAAAGTTATTCTGCATTGACAGTAGCAAATATTGCAAATATTCTTTCTTTAATCACATCCTTACATTAATTTGTCTTCATTTAGAAATTTTTCATTTCAGTCTGAACTGTGAAATATAGATGTTGTATCAAGCCAAAAAGTGAAATTGATTATTCTTGTTTTTTTTTCCCCTAAGGTTATCTTAAGTAAATTTTGAACATTTATTTCTATTTTGCAGTCTGTACTTAATTTAAGAGATCTGGGATTGTCTGATTTGAAAGCTAAACAGTACAAAGAATTGGTGAACAGGTTGCTTCCTGGCTACTGTACAGAAAACAAAGTCTCTTCGCAGTGGCATACATCATACATTTCTGCTGACTCCTTCTTTGAAAATAAGCATGGTATGTTTCAGAGTAAAGTTCTAATGAGAATTGATAAGGAATTAGTTTATAAAGGTGAACACAGTTATTCTTTAGTTTAATCTCTTGTCCTGTAGATAACTCATAGTTTAAAAAATCTTTAATAAAAAGAGTATTAATGTGTATTTTATTGTGTACAGCTTGTCTCTAAAGTGGTGCTTTTCAATCTTGGGAATTTTGGAAGATTCAACCCAGATTTTGGAATTGTCTCTGCAAATTCAGATTTGAAGTTGGTTGCTATTAAACTTGCCGGAACTCAGCAGTAGTACAAGTGCGTTGTCTCTTAATGATGAACCTGAGCTACAAATTTTTTCACTGGTTTGTTTCACCGGATAGAAGAAATTAGATTTTGGTAATCTACTAATGTAAGGCAGTCATGAACTTCTCCAGTTTACATTGTTATTCCTTTTTTGCTTGAAGCAACATTACACAATGACACTAATTATAAAGGAATTCAGGGTGGCAAACTGTTAACTCTCCATGCAGAGTATTTGATTGCTGAAATAAAGCAAGAGTGGTTCCTTACAGTTAAAGATGTTTTGTTGGGGTTAGTCATAAATACAGGAAGCCAGGCCATTGTAGATGCTCAATAATGTGTTGGAAAAATAAGCATATAGCTGACATTGGGGGATACTGCCTATATAGTATTGCAGGTGGGAGAAAGAGCGTGAGAATAATATCTCAAGGCTACTATTAGCAGAAAGGTATTAAATGGCATTGTGATGTGAGATATAAAAAAAATAGCCCAGAGGCAGTTTCCTGCATGTGAGGAAGAAAGTTGCAAATGCTTCAAAGCTTTGATGGATTAACATGGAAGCTCAACAGACTGGTTGTTTCATTCACAGTTGAAAAGGCAAAATTTATAGGTGGAAAAAGTGTGACAGGCAAGGGAGATGCTAAATCTTCAAGAACGTACTTTCAGTGTAGGTGACGCTGCATCCTATGGATGACTGTTACTGTTGATTTGTGTATGTTGTGTCAAATACTTGTGCATATTTTTTTAAACTCATGTTCATAATTATGTTGTGTTAGATTAGCCAATATGCAGTATTGTAGAAGATTGTAGAATATACAGCATTTCAGAATTAATAGCTAATATTTTTTTTCTCCTTCCCGTAATTCTTCATTATTTCAGTTGTTAGCTTGGAAGCTGTTATTGCAATCATATAACTTCAAAAAATTTAGTAGGAACTTTCAGGGTTCTTTTTTTGCTGACCTAGATGTATCTAACTGATGTAATAACTTCTTCATAATATGTAAAATAAACAACAAACTCCACCCTTTTTTGTTATTACAATATCTTCTAAATTACAGTGGAAGAGAGCATATGTAGACTTGGCCTCAGTTTTTTTTTGCCTCCTCCTTTCTGAGGTCTCTGATGTTACTTAAATAATTCTTACCTGATAAATGAGGATGAGTTCTTTGAGCTTTTGGTAACTAAACAACAGATAAATGACAGTCATCTTGTCTTGCAGTCTGTTGCGTGCTTGAAATAGTATCTGCTAATAACATTTTCACTGAGACACTTTTTTATTTCTTCTTGTTTCTGTATTGCATGAGGACTGTACAATTAGACTTATTATAGTTTAAAATGTTTTCATGTGTTATACATAATCTGTTTTAAAATGTCCGTGAGCAATCTGTTCTTTAAAGCCTTTGAAACTGAATGATTGGTTGAATGCTGGGTCCTTCAGCTTCATAAGAGCCTTGGATTCCTGTCTGGTAAAGATAACTTTATTCAGCTCTGTACAGATATGCAGAGTTTTCCCCTCCCAGATACAGCTTCAAATTTGAGATTCTGGGGTACTAATATCTTTTGGAAGTTTTAATTAGAAAAGATTCTGATATATTGCAAAGTGCTTGACATAGGTTAATGCAAAGAAGTTAACTATATGTACTGTTAGTGGCTAATTTGTTTAATTACAGATGCCTGAGGGACCACAGTAAAATAGAATTAATAGAAAACAGACTATGTGAGAAGTAATGTTTAGTTGCCATTTAATATATGGTATATTTAAACTTTGTATCTTTTTACAGGTTTCGTGGATATTTTCAGTGCTTTACGCTCATCTTGTTTGTACAGACGGCATCCTAATCCCCTCCAAAATTTCAATTCGGGTGTTTGGTGTTGGCCAGGTATAAAACAATAAACTACACTGATTTTAATCTCTGTAGTATCTTTTTAGTCTGGGAAAGTATTGTTACTTTTGTCTTAGAGGCATCACTCAGGAAATACTGGTAAACTTTCAGGAAAAACTACGTTGATATTAACAGTTTCAATCATGAAGTTATTTTTGCATTTGAGTAGTATATTTCCAGAATTAAGTTAGTAAACATGGTATAACTATAGATTCTTGTTCAAATATGTCAGTATTTGTGGATCGTATTCTTCAAAGATGATGGATGAGCTGGATGAAACTTTTGAATCAATAAATATGTTGAATCTGGTATTCGTCCAGATGAATTTTGTAAGGTGCTTGCTGACTGGTTTAAACTACTCCTGGCTGTATGATGGGTAACAACAGGGCTGTATTTGCAAGAACATAAGCAGGAGCTCAGGGAGTTCAGGTATTGTCTAATGCTACATCTAAATACTGTGTCTGGTTTTGTGTCCCATGGTTAAGAGAGAGATGCTGACAAAATGGAGATAGTCCAGTGATGGGCCCCAAGGAAGGGTGCAGATTTTAGAGGACTTCATATATGGAGGAAGCTGAAGGATCTGAGTTTTTGAAGTTAGTAGAAGAGATGGCAAGGAGTGATCTAATTGCTATTGGAGCCATATATTAGTTACGTTTTTATTGTGCACCTTGAAGAAGAGGCAACAATTACAATTAAAAGCAAAGGAAATTTCTTTTGGAACATTTTCACAATGAGAATGGCTAAGTTTTGAAACACGTTGTCTGGAGAGGTGTTATCTTAATCCTTGGAGATTTTCAAAACTGGGCTGGACAAGGTCTAGAGCTACCTGACCTGATGTTGAAGTTAGATTTTTTTGAGCAGGGATTTGACCAGATCATCTCCAGAAGCTCCTTTTGTTTTGTGCTATTCCATGATAATAGAAGGCTTAGTTAAAACTATATAGTTGACTGGTATTCATTATTATTTTAAAACATAGTAGTGGAAGAAGATAAATATTCTTGGCTTTTGTGATTTCTGCGATAAAAATCTCCATTGCAGTGTTTCTGGTGTGATACAAGATGACATACAGTGCTATAAGCTCATTGTGACGTATAGTGCTGTCGGCTCACTGCATTTGAATGGTCTAATTTCTTTTGTCAGTTTCTAAGTTAGCAGCACACCTAAGCCGTTCCAGATATCTTCAGGGCACCTTATCAACAGAGCTTTTAGAGAAAGCTTATTTTACAGCGGGAACCTCCATTCCCATCCTTTTGGACTGGCTTCTGAATATTTCATGTTTGTCAGCCTTCCTGGGTTTAATTCAGCTTTACGTCTCTTCTGTTCCTAGAGGCAATGATAGGGCTGGCCAATTATCTGTAATTCACAACATCAACTCCTGATAATTTTAACAAAAAAATTAGTGGGAAAAATATATTGTGAAATACTAAGCAGTTTGCTTGCAGGTTTAGATTACAAGCATGGTTCATGATCACCTAACTATCCATTTACAGGACTAAAATGTATTGGTTTACTTAACTCAGTTTATTACTGTTAGATCCTGAAATACCTTTCATACAGTTTTCTGGTCAGGCATCTTAAATAGATTGCTTTTTGCAATTCTCTTCACTTTCAGCTGGGATATGTTGTGAAGATTATAGAATCATAGAATGGTTTGCGTTGGAAGGGACCTTAGAGATCGTTTTGTTCCAAACCACCCTGCTATGAGCAGGGACACCTCCCACTAGACCAGATTGCTCAAAGCCTCATCCAGCCTGGCCTTGAACACTTCCAAGGAGGGGGAATTATTGAATATTCAGTTCAATCACAATAGTCTTTTTCATATAATAGTTTCTGAAATTTCTTCAGCCTTTTTTGTTTTTTTTTTGTAGTGGTAGTAATGGATAATTTTTAACTTGTTTATTTATTATTACTACTTTAAGTTTACATACAATCACGGAACTTCAAGACTTTGAGATCAAGAGCAAGACGTCTGCAGTCAACATCTGAACAATTCACAGAAACAAAAAATTCACTTTCTTCACTTCTGAAGGTAAATGCAACTAACATTATGAAGTTGTTTTGGGCTTATTCAGACCATCTCTTTCTCTTGAATGAACCTTCCAATTTACCAAGGGTGTTTTGTTTCAGTAGTGTGAAAAAATTTCTTAATTCTAAAACTAGAGCTAATTGATAACATACTGGGTTTTGTACCAATAGACAGATTTGCTTCATATATCATCAATATAAAAGATTATTTTTTAAAATTTTTTAGGAGAATAGTTTCAGAGTGTAAAAAATGTTTTAAACTCTAGAAAGAAAATTCTTTGTATTCTGCTTTTGTGGCTCTGTTAAAAATAGCTTGGAGTCAAATGAAGTATTTGTTTAAACAGAAATACAGCTGGTTTAATATACAAGGATGTCTATTTTTTTGAAGCAGTTCAGCATGTGATTGATATTTTAAGAATAGATTTAACTTGTGGCTAGTATACTTTCAAGATACAAAAATTTTAAACTTGGTATTTTTATGGGTTACAAACTCACATACTTTTAATTTGGCAGATAACTGTCCAGGCTTGGGGTAGCCAACCATTTAACAAAACCAAGTTAATTTAGGTGCTTTTGCTTCTTATTTGCTGTACAGAAGTCAGGCTAATTAAAGCATTTGATCTTATTGTGTGTGTAAATTAGCTTTGAACTCTCCCCTTCTTCTAGGAATATGTGGTTTATTTCATCTGTGGACTAGGTATATACTATGGATGAAGATAAACCAGAGCTAGCTCCATGCAGTGCTGCTCCTAAATTTGTTAGGGCATTTGGTGTATTTGATCATCAAAACTCTACTTACAAAGATAATAAAAGTTGATTTCATGAAGCAAAAAGCTTAAGCTAATAACTCCCACTGAATCCAGTGTACAAAGTTAGCTGTGTACGAATCTACCTTGGGCTGCATTTTGTGTTTGGAACTAGGGTCCAGGAGGGTTCTGAACCTGACCTATTCAGCAAAAATCAGGATGCTCCTGCTTGGAACCATTGTTATTCAACACTCAAGCAACTGTGCTGTGTCATCTAACTAACCCCATAGCACCTGAATTACATAGTTTCTTGTTTTCTTTTTTTTTTCCCCCTCACCCATGCTAGCCAGGTTAACTATGTATCAAAACTGAGTGTATACTAACACTGCTCTGGAAAATGTTTTAGGGCTTTATCCTGAGAAAGCGAAGAATCGATGTTGAAAACTTAGATGCACTAATGAAAACAAAAAACATCCCAGAGGCACACCAGGATGCTTTTAAAACTGGTTTTGCAGAAGGCTTTCTGAAAGCGCAGGTATTCCTGCAAAAAACACTTGGTAAGTTGTTTTAATTCATGCATCTCTTCTCTGCATTCAGAAAGTAGTTTATTTGAGCCCACATTAAAACCGCTTTGGTTTTTTTTTTTTTTAACAGATTCCTTAAGAAGATCACGTTTGCTTTCTTTCTTTCTCTTTGTTCTTTGTTTTTATCTTGCTATATATTCATCATTTTTACCTGGAAAGGGTTCCTTTTCTGATGCTGGTGAGTTAACTTTTTTCCTGTGACTGTTTCACTTGGGTTGTTTCTTCCAGCACGTTTAGCACAAATTAAATGTGTTTTGACATGTTTTTTTCAGGATAACATTTCAATATACTAATGAAAGAGAAGAGTTATTTACTGCTTTTGGCTACAGCCTTTCAGACAATAGTGTGACAAAATGTTTACGGAGACAAAAAAGTTGTCTGTAGTTATAATTATTTTTAATTCTTTTGCTGAACCAAGTACATGGAACCAAGCAGAGAAGAAGTCAGATTGTTCACCAATTTTGTATTTGTCTTTGAATTTAGATGGTGCATTAGCTAAGTCAGAAGTAGGCAAAATAGTCTGATTTTTATTTGTAATCACAGCCTAGTTTATAGTGACTGGATACTTGGCATGGCCAAATTGGCTTCTTGAGAAATCTGTTGGAAATAGTGGAATGATCAAAGGCTGCGCTAATGTAAATTGAGAAATTCAGCTTCATGATAGGTTTATCACCTGGGTCTCAAGAAAGTTAGGGTATGTCTAGAAACACTGAGGGAGAACTTCTGGCTTTGTGCATGTGAAGTTGGATGCAGGGCTTTGTGTACTACAAATGACTAAAATGCACTTACATCACTGAATTAACTGCAAATATTTTAAATTTTTTTTTTTAATAAATCTCATTCTTGCTGGACACCTATAAATGGAAACATGCCCTTTTAAAAGGGCAGGTGTAAAGTTAATGGCTTAGTGGTATGTATTCCAAAGTTCAATCTCGGAATGAAATTATTTCACATGTAAATTTGTTGTTCATCATCTGCTGTTTGCTATTAGTACGCTTTCGAACATCGAGTATCTTTGATGCAGCAGTTGATCCGATTCAGTTGAAAAATGTCACCTTTGAACATGTAAAAGGGGTAAGTTCAAAAGTAGAGTGTGTGTGAGTTCTTGCTTAACCAGTCATTGTATGCCTGAAGAATGTCTTAATCTGTTCAAGAAATTTCTTTGTGTGAACTGAAGCCTTCTGTATATTGACCACTTCAAGGTCAAGGAGGGTTTTAACCACTCTTGTTCTATTTTATATCTTTGTGGTATTTAATACCTCATAAAAGGTGCACTGTAGACTTGTTGAATCCCATTTTTAAAGGCTAGAATAGCAAAAGGCAGGCCATAAGTATCCATGTTAATCTATTTTTTGCAGAATTTGACCAATACAAGATGGTAATGCCATTTGATCATTTCTCTCTTAGTGCCGTCTCTGTTGCATATTCCCAGAAAGAATTGGGCATGTCACTGGCTGATGGGATAGGTTTATTTTCTCTGTTCAACTGTTCTTTGTCAGTCGCAAAATGAGGACCTCCCCGTCTCCTTCCCCTTGGACAAATAGATGGAATTAATCTCTTTTTAACTAATCAGGACAATGTTTTGGCGTAGCATTTTTGATTCTGTTGTTATCTTGTTGGTCAGATCTGGTCTTGAACTATTTGGTTATTCCTTCAGTATTATTAACTTTAGTGTTTATCAATTCCTATGAACAGTTCTAGGAAATAGGTTGAATTAAACTCCTGGAGACTCGGTATCCACACAAATTCTGTAGTACACTTTTTTCTGCTCTTTCTGTTCTGTATTTTTGATCAATACACAATTAGAGACTTGGTCTCTAATACAAAACTCGCCTACAAAAAAAGATGCAGTATTTTATAAATGCTTAGTTATATTTTTGTGGCGTGTTTTTAATTGTAGGTTGAAGAAGCTAAACAGGAATTGCAAGAAGTTGTGGAATTCCTGAAAAACCCACATAAATTTACTGTACTAGGAGGTAAACTTCCAAAAGGTAAGAATCATTGCTCAGCAGAAGTAAAAATCATACACAGCCATGGTTATCTTTGTAGCTTTTTTCTATACTGAATGACTAATTTACAGCCTAGCTTCCAAATATTTTTTCCTTTAGTTAGGGAATCAAAAAAGTATGTAACTAAATGGGCCTGTAACCTAATGGGCCTAAATACTACTGTTTGTGTTTAGTTTGTATCTGGGAAAAATAGGGAAATAATGTTAGGCATAAGTAGTGGATTTCCTTGTTTGTTTAAAATACTTCAGGTACAAATTACTTTTCAAAGAGAGTTGTGAAAGCTTCTTTTAATAAAGGATAGCCTTCAATGAGGTACTTGAGGGTGGGGGAGTAGAGGTTAAGGTAGTTATGTTGCATGTTTCCTGTCTTACCTTCAGTTCCCCATACGTAAAAATTGGTCATTATTCCCTACTCCCATAGACAATTTGAGGTATCTGAGATATTCAGATAGAAGAAGCGAAGATGCCTGGCTACATCTTACATTTGGTAGAAATTAAATAGGAACAGTACGGGTAATAAGCTGTGACAGTGCAAAGCAACAGACTGTAGATTCCAGGCAAAAAGCCTTTCAAAAATCAAACCTGTTTGTTTATCATTGTTAGCAGCCTTCTTTGCAGGGTTAAGAATCAATATTTCTTTGAAGCCCCAAGTCAACCTTTTAGAGGTGATGTATTGAACTACAAAAATTCTTCTACTTTGACACTGAACATAACATAGTATTAAAAAAATACTTACTGATAAAGTTATGGATAATTGATGTTAGTGCCTTTTTGAATAGAACTTTATGTAGCCCAGAGGTTTTTAGGTCTGTATTTTTTCCCCTCCTTTAACTGTCTCTATAAGGATATATTTTTTTTAAAGTTAGTAGCTTCCTATTACAACAATTTTTTATTGTGCTGTACCTTTTCTCAGCTGGAAAGATGAGTAACAAGTTTAGTCTTGAAAACTGACCCAAGATACTGCAAAAATGTCCAGAATAGAACCTGTATTATGCAAGTGAATATGTTGGGGTTAGACAAAACTTATTGTGCCTTCTTTAGTTATCAAACTAGTATACAGTAGTCCTTTATCTTGAAATGCAGGGGATTTATGCAACTGAACTCTTAAAAGGCCTTTATTTTGTCTGTACAGCTTTCAGCACCTTCAGTGCTTGCTAACTGCTTTAAACAGTTCAGAAACAAATGTTTTCATTTAAAAGGATAATTAAGCTTGATCATAGTAGAAGGCCAAGTGAATCTGAAATATGTAAACCTGCTAAGTGTTTCCTGTTAGTGCTCTACACTGCTTAAATTCAATTACTTGGAATGATTTAATTAAAAAAAAAGTTTCACTTTCGGAAACAACTACGAAATGTTGGAAGAAGATGCTGTTAGGGATTCAGCTGCTAAACTCAGCAGAATACTTCAGGCTTCTGTTTTTATGTGATAGTCTTACAAGTCTTTGTTTTTTAAATATGGATCAGAGTGTATCTAGATCTGCTATAGGAAGCTTCTTCAGACTGCAAGTAATGAGCAGTATCTGAAATGGGATGTTAACAGCTTTTTGAAGTCACGTGTAAATTATTTCTTCTAATGTATGGAAGAAACAGTACCTGTGTAGTAAGACTGTGGGCTTGGTGTTTTTTGTTGTTTGGTTTTCTGTTTGTCTTTTTAGGTATTCTGTTAGTTGGACCACCTGGTACTGGTAAAACTCTTCTTGCACGGGCTGTAGCTGGTGAAGCTGATGTTCCATTTTACTATGCATCTGGATCTGAGTTTGATGAGATGTTTGTTGGTGTAGGAGCTAGTCGCATCCGAAGCCTATTCAGTAAGTTAAATATTTGTGGTTTTGAAAGCTTTTAACATGCGAGATTAAGTATTCAGTGTTGTTTAAAAGATTTGATTAGGTACAGTTCTGGTTACTGGAAAGTAGTAGTGTATGAGGCTAATAAATAAAACTTTATTGTGTGGGTGAATCTCAGAATTCGGTGAGAATCAGTTAACTATAGAATCTTGTTAGTTGTCAGTTGCAATTGTAGCAAAAATTATAATTAATGTTACAACACTCCCAGAGGGAATAGAAGTAATTTAATTAGAAATGTAATGTCCTGTAAACTAATTGGAATATTTTAAATTATAATTTACTTACTGTCATCTGTAAATTATTGTAAATTTAAATTAAAGTGTAAACTTGAGGTAAAAGTAGTGTTAACCTTCTCAATTACTTCTCTCATATTTTTACATTGTCTTTTTTCTTTGAATTAGAGCTTTACAGGATCACAGTGTAGCACTAAGCTGAGATTTCCTTTCCACATCCATGAACAGGCCTATTGGGCATTATAATGAAACTTGGAAAATTAATGTTTAGATTGATAACTTTCACAGAAGAGGCTTTCTATTTTAAGTATGCAAATAAATATTACCAGAGGAGGGGATAATCCAACTTCTCTCTTAAATGGAAGATTTGAGAGTGTCAGGCATCTATGCTGTAGAAAGTAGTTTGGATTTGTGGAAGAAACGTGACTTGCTTCACATGGAAGGGATGCAAAATGTAACGTGTTGTACCTTAAAATATGCATTTATTTCTGTTGACTATGGAACTTCAGATTACTCACTTGTATATTAATATGAATGTTACAGGTGACTTACATCCTGCTATGCATGCACCAGTCAATGGTCTTAAAGTTTATTTTTGCATTTTTATTTTGTGTTTTTAATATCTGTAAAATTGAGAGTGGAGGTCTTCACTGTTAAATAACAAGCAGGTTTTGTTAAAACAAGTTAGCCTCTAGTCCCATCACATTTCATATTTTTATTTAACAGGTCAAAGTTCTCTACCCAAGCCTGTGAAATAAACTTGTAGGGAGTTGATATGCAATACAACAAATTTCTTAATCTATTTTGCTAGTAATTTCTTGCAGCATGATAAGAATCAGATGATGTGGAGATGAAGAACCTTGCTTTTCTTTGCTTAATTTCAAAAATATATTTCATTTTTTTAGGCTAAAATCAAGACAGTTCTGGTGATGTCTAATGGGATACTTTGTAATCCAAGAGTAATAGAAGTAGTAGAATCCTAAGTTACATGATACACTGTCTGTTCTTTTCTGTGGTTGAAGTGTCCTTCTGCTATTTTTCTTTTGTCAGGGGAAGCAAAAGCAAATGCACCATGCGTTATATTTATTGATGAGTTAGACTCTGTTGGTGGGAAGCGAATTGAATCTCCAATGCATCCCTATTCAAGACAGACTATTAATCAACTACTTGCTGAAATGGATGGGTAAATATATGTATTCTGAGGGAATAGAAGGTGCTTGACTGACTGGTATTTTGAATATTTGGGTGAATTTTTCTTCCTTGACAGCTTTAATGTTTTTTATAATTTTTTGTAGTACTTTTAAGGATATAAATTTAAGATGTTCTTATGCGCACTTTCTAGTACTGCCAACAGTAGCATTAATGGCCTTACTGTAAAGAATATAGAAACTTCTGAGTTGCTGTACCACAATAGCTGCAGTTATTTTAAATAATTTTTATGCTGGCTATATATCTAAAGGAAGAAGTTCAACCCTGAGATCAGAGCATGTTTTTACCAGTTGCTGGGTTAAACATGGTCATTCTTGGATCACGTGTTGTGGTTTGAAAGCGTGTTTTTGACTGGCCAGTTGAGGCCATCCGAAGTAAGAAATAAAAATAGTTACTGACAAAAAAAGGTGTAAATTCTTTCTCAGAAAAATACCCAGCATTCTCACCCTTTTTTTCCATACAGGTTTAAGCCTAATGAAGGTGTTGTTATCATTGGTGCAACAAACTTCCCTGAAGCATTAGATAAGTGAGTATCCTGCATTGATTATTTCTACAGAGCATGTATTAAAAAAGAACCAAACAAAATACCCACAAAACAACAACAAAGTTGCTTATGATAATCTTCAAGTATCACAGTGTTATAGCTGGGGTTTTTCCCTCTTAAAAAGGATATGTATTGACCAGTTTTTAGCATTTAAAAGGTTGTTAAATATGGAGAAATAAGTAACATGCTTCTAAGCATCTAAAATTTCTGGAAGTTCTACTTAAATAGACTAGCTGCATTCCTTGTTCACAATGCAAAATATTCAAATGCAAAAAAACCCTTTAAAATGGGTAGCTAATCAGCATCTTGCATCTGTCTTTTTACAAACAGGAAAAACATATTCTTTGCATTTGCGCACCAGACGTAGTTAATGTAGATGTCTTTAGAAATATCAAATGGATTTTTGTTCCTTATGTATGTTAGTAGCAGTTTACTGCAAAATTTAAGTCAATGTATTAAATTGTCTTTTCCTTTAGTGCTTTGATACGTCCTGGTCGCTTTGATATGCAAGTTACTGTGCCCAAACCTGATGTAAGAGGCCGTACAGAAATTCTCAAGTGGTATCTTAATAAAATAAAGTATGATCCATGTAAGTAAATACTTTACTGTAATATCTTTTTATGTAATAGGTTTTATACTGGATCAGCCGTTACTCCATCAGCAATTGTGGCTTTGCCATGTGTCTCAGTAAAGAACACAAAAATTGTCTAGTGTGTAGTGTTACAACAGTACTCTGAGGCAGTGTATCTTTCTAGTCCCAAACAGTTCATAATGTCTTTAAAAATTAGGCTTCCTTTCTTCTAAGCTGAAAATGTTCTGTTTAACACATTATTTATAACAGAGCATGATTCTTGCTTATAATTTGATAATTTCTTGATATTTCTTCATGATACAATCTTTTTCAGGACCACTATAGACTCTAATGACAAGTTTGTTTTTACCCACAGCTGTTGATCCAGAAATAATAGCACGAGGCACAGTAGGATTTTCTGGAGCAGAGCTTGAGAATCTTGTAAATCAAGCTGCCTTAAAGGCAGCTGTTGATGGAAAAGATATGGTAACCATGAAAGAACTGGAATTCTCCAAGGACAAAATTCTAATGGGTAGGATTTTATACAAAAGACATACATAATATATTACAGTACACAGGGCTTTTCTTGTGGGATTAAGAGAATGAGAGACATTTTTAGGTTGTTGGTTTTGGTTTTGTTTTTTAAAAAACAAATAAGCCTTCTGTTAGTTTATTCTGAATAGAACCTTTTGAGACCAGAGAGTAGTATGTAAAATCTAATATGGAATACATTTAAGACTTGATACTTTTTTTTTTAATCAAAAAATGTTGCATGTTGTACTTCAGCCTAGAGGAAGACAACAGTTTGACTTCTCACCTTTCCCCTACTTATTCCTAAAGAGAGAATAAATGACCAGAAACTTGGAAGTTCTGTTTAACTAACTTGTCATGTGATAACACAAAACTTAAACATTTAAGACATATACACTAAAAATCTGGTCTATTCATACTTTAGAGAAGAAATGACATTTTCTCAGATACTCAAACTGCTTTTTAAATATATTCCTTTAAAAGCAACATGTCTGTAGGGTATACTGAGGTCCATTTTAGAGAATAAAATCCTACTCGTAAACATGTTGCGCTTAATGAGTGGTAGTTAATTTTGCTTGCATGCTGTTCCTCAGCTACTTTGTGCTCTGAGTGTATGTAATGTGTGGATTGCTGTGGTCAGCTGTACACAAAATGTTTATTTAATGTTCCTCTGTTGGAAGGACCTGAACGTAGAAGTGTAGAAATTGATGAGAAAAACAAAACCATCACTGCTTACCATGAATCTGGACATGCTATCATTGCATATTATACTAAGGATGCAATGCCAATCAACAAGGCTACAATCATGACACGAGGAACAACACTTGGACATGTGAGCATTTCTAGAATTTTTTGTTGGTTTAGTGTTGTTGAGGAATTTGCCAACAATGCTATTGGCTGTAATTATGTTAATGGATATTGTAATATGTTGAAATACTGAAGTATGAGTAGTCCCTTGGAAGACACAATGGTCATATTTTCTGTGTGATAGAAAGCTTTCTTCTTTCATTTTGAAATAAAATAGCATATGCTAGTGTAATAGTTCACATATCTAAGGAAAGAAATTAAGTGTGTTTGATTCTGCTGCAGTTAAAATAGCACCCAATGTCAAAACTTTGAAGAATGTCTGAAGGGCTGTAAAGTAGTGGCACTGCTCGCCTGCACTTTTAATACAAACATCCTTTATCAAGTTGTTCTTTGTCCTTTGTGACTCTTTCTAAACCTAATCGGTTACCTACCTTGTTTCTAGCATAATATCCCTAAGTTTTTCTGTTCTGCCTCATTCTATCTCAACTGTTTTTCTATTCTGCCTTTATCTGCCAAGCATTTGAATAGAAAAATATTTCTATTGTGTCTGTTTCTGTTGAACTTTATCCAAGTTAATGTGGTCAGTTAAAGAATCCTCTTGAATCCTCTAGGCAAGTTGATTTGGGCTCAGTACAAGTATAGGGAATAAGGAGAAATGGGTAGAATAGGTTGTTCTGTTTCTTCTGGTGGTAGGTTTAGATGGCTTAATTTTATGTAGTGCTCATGGCCTGTAGGAGGCTATTTCAGCTAGTAGACTAAGCACCTCCAAGCAAACCTGATGAGTGCATAGAGTAGGTGGAGGCCCAGGGCATTGAAATTGTTGCATAAAAGCCTTTGTGTCTGCTTTGGATATAAACAACAATATTTTTCAGATTATTTCAGTATTTCCTCTGTTTATTGTTACCTGACCACAGTTCTGTATCTTACAGGTGTCTTTGCTCCCAGAAAATGACAGATGGAGTGAAACTAGATCCCAGTTGCTTGCACAGATGGATGTCTGTATGGGAGGAAGAGTAGCAGAAGAGCTCATATTTGGAAGTGATCACATCACAACAGGTCAGCTGATCAGTAGTTAAAAGAATTTTTGATCAAAGCTTGTGGACTGCCATGTTTAACTTGGTTTCAATAACGTAATTTACTTCTGTTTGCTATCTAGGTGCTTCCAGTGATTTTGACAATGCTACTAAAATTGCAAAACTGATGGTGACTAGATTTGGAATGAGCGAGAAGGTAGTATCATCAATCCTTAAATATTTATGCCTGACAAAGAAATGTTCTGTTCTGTAACTAAATGCCTATTTGGCTGTCAGTGATCACAGACTAAGTAGTTCTAGCAAAAAAGAAAGTAAGCCTTATGACTGGCCCTGCTATAGAGAACTCAACTACAAAACCTGTATATTTGACAGTTTAAAAATTAACTTGAAAGATCTGCACCTCAAAATTACCTTGAAAGTTACTAATGTCTGCAGAAATGTTTATAATAAAACTAAACATTTTGGAATTGAGGATAATCTTGGGTTTGGGGGGTGTGTGATAACATTGAGTTTTCCAGACTTCTAAAGGAACTTCTCTAGTCATCTTTATTACCCATCAAGTGCTAGTAGTCTGGAGATTTTGTTTTGGTTTTTAAGTAAGAAAACACTTCATCAGGATCTGTACTGTGACATGTTGAAATAGAGTTCTGCAGTGACTGCATAGTTGATCAATAGGCTTCTTGTTTTGCTTCTGTTGCAAGCAGTTCAGCAAGCATTTGATTAATACTTTTATTTGTTTGCATGTAGAAGCAATAGGCGATGAAGCTCTGACTGTTTTATGTGTATTACTGCAATAGTGGCAAGATAAAGAATTTTTTGTTGTTGTTCAGCTTGGTGTTATGACCTATACTGATACGGGGAAAGCTAGCCCTGAAACTCAGTCTGCAATTGAACAGGAAGTAAGAACGCTTCTGCGGGTAAGATTCTCTCCCTCTCTGCTCTGATAGATGTATCTTGAGATGCGTTGAGCATCATCTTACTTGTTTGTTCAGTTTGGTAATGCGTACTGGTGAAAATACACAGGTGGATGGAAGTATTCCTAAGTATTTAATGGTAGCTGCAGCTTTGAGTCTCTGCATTGTCAAAGCTTTTTGGTGCTTGTCATGCACAAGTAGTGAGGAAACAAGTCGGTGGTGTTAGGCTCTGTACTAGGTGCTTTAACACGTCCTCTAACATTTGGTCAGGATTTGTATTTTGCCTATTCAATTCATAGGAAAAAAAGTATGCCTAAAATTGTTTTAGAACAGATGTGAATGTTTTGTGTTGCTCTTTGTGTTGCTCCCACATTTAACTTGCAGCTAAATAATTTTGTATAGAATCACAGGAAAAGATCAAAGAGCAGCCTTTTTCCAGTATGCTGTTCCCCACAGTGATCAGTATCAGATGCTTAGGGAAATTTGTAACATTCAGTAATCACAGAACTCGTAGATCACTGTTCTGGTAATCTGAATTAGTTTGGTACAGGCAGGAGAATTATTTATATCATAACATTTAAACAATTAACACTTCTGCTGTAGCTGGTTTTGAACTGACTTGGTCATGTAAGAATTATCTATGTAGAACTAAAAGTTGAAGTTGAAGCTGGTAATGCTGGCAATGTGCGTCTACTTGAACCAACTGGTAGGTTGTTGGGTAGCTTTTGAGAGTTTTATAGGCTTTTAAAAAAACTTTAGTCTTTGAGGAACATTCCTTGAATGCTGTAGCACTGCTCATAATGTAAAATCAAATACATGTAATTTAATCAACAACTTTTCAAGTGTAGTAAGTCTTTTCTAAGCCATATGTAAAAATACTAAGGTTTGTCTCAGGCTTTCATTTTTAGTCCTACTTCTGCAAAATGCAAAAGTGGCATAATGTCTTTTTTTATTTTATTCATTATGCCAGATTTTAAATCTTCGTGAGACAGGAGCTATGCTAGCTGTTAAGTGTAAGGCACAACTTTAAATGTTTGTTTCAAGCTGTGTTTACATGGAAACAATTTTTAAAGTGGAATCTTGCTGTTGTTCTATATTTAAAATCTCCTTCCACCTTTTTTTAATATTAGGACTCATATGAGCGAGCAAAGAACATCCTGAAGACTCATGCAAAAGAACACAAGAATTTAGCGGAAGCTTTACTGAAATATGAGACTTTGGATGCCAAAGAAATACAAATTGTTCTAGAGGGAAAAAAGCTAGAAGTAAGATGATAACCTCTGTGATACAGTCACTGATAATTTGAAGAATGTACATCTAGCAATGCAGTAGTCTTATGCAGTGTAGTCTTTTTTTCCCTTCCTGATGTGTGTAAGGCATTAGTGACACTTTAACATTAATTCTGTCTGTTGTGAGCTTCTGTTACTCTTCTATTTGTTGTGTCTCATCAGAGTAAGACACACAAAATAAAGCAAGTTCCTTATCCTCTGCTCCCTGTACTCTTCCCAAAAGAAGTTATTCAGAAGGAGAAATCTCAGGGTTGAATTCAGCTTTTTGGTTTAGTCAAATGTGTTGAAGCTCAGAAGAAAAATGTGCAGATATACTGGTATGTTTTGGCATAGCTTCCTGGGTCATGATGTTACATGTGCATTTGAAACAATACCCCACAGTGTGTGCTATGGAATCTTTTGTGGGTAGTGACAGATTGACTTGTGAAACAGTAGTCTGTAGTCTAACCAATGTTCATACTCTCTTTGAGGCTAGAGATCACTTTTAAGGAAGACTTCTTATTTAGAAATGTAACAAAACATCTTTAAGAATGAAGTGGCTACACAGTGCATCTCTATTAGAGGGAGTTGTGGGAGCTCCATGTTAGATAAAAACAGTAGCAATTGTGTTTTCAGTGGTCTTGGGGTTAAAATACACGTGTGGCTGGGAGAGAAATTTTAATGCAAAAACAACAGGCTAAACATGCCTAAGCCTCTTTGGACTGTGTTTTGGTGCAGAACTATGGCAGGGATAAGAGAGATACCTGTGACCTCTGATGTGCTGCAGACAAGATTCTTAGATTTTTTTTTTTTATTATTATTACTGCAATAGATGGATAACAGTGCTTTGATGACAGTGCTTTTACACTGCTGGAGATTCTACAGAACTAGTTTCTACTAATACTATGTATGGGCGTTTGATAATCCAACAGATAGTTTCATCAAAGAAGATAACATTGCTCGCTAAAGAGTAGTTCAGAAAATGTTTGAAGCATGTGTTGTTTCAAATAACATTCCCAGTTCTGTTCTACAGTACAAGTAGGAAAATAAAACCTTTTCTTTCAACTCTTAAAGAAACCTCTGGAAATTCTAAGTAAGAAGTTCTTGAAAACAAAGCAGTTACAAGTGGAAGTGATTGCTCTTAATTATATGCAAGTATTCTTCTGATCTCATGGAACTGGTTTTTAGGAAAAACACATCTTGATTGTAATCTTTCTGCACAATTAATTGTAGACTCTTGGGACTATAAGCTTCTGTTGCAGAGAGGGCCTTTACGAGGGTATTAATGTTGAAGGTTACCATAGCCGGACATGAAAGTAGTTGGGCTGGTGCCAATAAATGTGAATGGAAATTGGTAGCTATACTTAAAACTAGAACATAGTATTTTAGAATTTTCTGAGTGCAATGCTTGATTATAACCCAAGTTTTTTAGTAAGAGCACATGCATTTTTTTTTTCTTTCAAAACCAGGATAACTTTCTATTTGCCTATTTTTGTCAGCTTACTATAGTGACATCCCAGTGCAGTGCAGGGCAATTTCTGAATGTTATAAAACAGTGTCTAGGCTGACTAGTTACAGTTGTACATGTAGTTTAGAAATATGCCAACAGAAACAGAAATATACTGCATATATGGCATCTGGTTTTGTAGTAATAAAGGTTAATTTTAATTATTAATATTGGTTTTCTTTTTACTCACTGTAAATTCTTATAAAATGTAATACCAAGTTCCCTACTGTGTAAATTGAGGTGTATAAAACAATTAAACTTGTAAATAAATTTAAGAATGATGTCAAAATTGCACTCTCTCTAATTAGATTTCTAGGGAATGTTCTCCCTAGAAATTCAGACCTTTTTTCAGTTGCTGCTTCAGTAGTGGGACTTGGATGGGAACTTTTTTAGCTAAATAAGGTGAATCTGCATTTAGAAACAAAAGCAAAAAACTTTTCATTTTTGAAGTCCCTAAAATCTATATTGAATGATCTGGTTTGAGGGGTAAGTCTTGAGGTTTAACTTATTTTTCTTATTCAAAAGCTTCTTGCTATATACAAAGAAGAAGTGAGCAGAGTCTCAAAAAGAAAAAAGGTGATGTCTCATTGGGTCATGAAAGAAGATTTGTTAGAGATTAGCCATCAAATGTAAAAGATATCTTTGCTTTCTGGCCAGCTTAACAGCTGACGTGTTACTGAAGAGGTCACTGTCACACCTAGATGGTTGTTTGCGTGTGTTATCTGTGGGCTTGCAAAGAAACTTGTCAGCTTAGGCATTAGCTTTGACCTCTGGTGTTCTTGGGCTCCTTTGGCAGCTTCATCACTGCAGAAATAGTTTTATAATTTGCCATAATAAAAGCACTAATTTGGACATTGAAACATTTACTGGGAGAAGTGAGGACTCTGGTGCATGGGGTTGGGTATTATTTTGTTTTGCTTTGTTTTTCTTAAATCTAGCTTTATGGCTAGTGCCCTGTCTTGGAAATATAGTGCTGCTGGATCTAGTACTGAGATTCAGTGATGTACCATGTAGGCTGTAGTAGCACGGGGTTTTGACTTCTACCTCAGGAGCAGATTTCTTCTAAGGTTGATGCTAGTTTTCAGTCTTTGACTACTGTTTCAAGAACTGACTCTTCAACTCTGAAGTGTTGCACTGTAACCTTTTTATAAACATTTACTCATAATTACAGAGCTACTTTCACTGTAGAATATTCATCCGCATTAGTGTTAAACAACATGCCCAGAGTTGGCTTCACTATCTTTCCAGGTAGGAAGGTTCCACAGAAAAACTGGAATGGGAAGGAAACGTAACACTCCCGTGAGATAGAAATTTGCAGGAAAGTTCAGGATACCTTTTGCAAATAATTTCATATAGGAATTCTCAGGCTGTCATAGGTAGAGGGGTGGGTGGTAAGGCGATTGGTGGGTTGGTTTGTTTGTTTTAATCTCCACAAAGCAAAAAACGCCTGTTGCTCCAGGACCTAGGGACAGAAGTAGGTATGGAAAGATGCTCCAGCTGGAGTTCACTTATGTTTTTATGCACATTAAGTACTCCTCCAAAAAACAGCTTCATGCTTGATTTCATTCTCTCGTTGTTACTCTTCACAACATCTCTCTAAAGGTTTCAACATATATTCACAGAGAAGATTCAGGTGAACTCCATGTGTTCTCTTGGCTCTTATATTTTTCCCCCCATTTGAGAGGGCATGCACAGAATCAAAACTTTCAGAACTTTCGGGGTTTAGTTTTAATTTCCTTTTTTGTGATAACTTGGTTTAATAATGGCTTTTGGACAGAAAGTTGCCAGTGTTCTTTGATAAATCATTTTCTTGCATTCCAGATTCAGCCAATATTGAGTAACTACTCCCACAATTTCTTCTTAGCTGAAAGTGATTTATCTTGAGCTTTATGTAGCTTTCATAGTGACTCTACATGAAAATTAATTTAATGCCTGTAGACTATGATTCACTGCTCAGAAAATTAGTACCACTACTTTCAGTATGTCCTGGAAGTTAATTATTGATTTCTGAGTGACCTGACTTCCAGTCCCCTGTCCCCATACACAGACATAGCATGAAGAACACAGAAGGATTCTGCCCTGTCTATAGGGTCTCATGCATCTGGTCAAAAAGCCACACAGAACAGAGGCAGACCCGGGCTTTGTCACATTTGCTCCATCTCTCAGAAGAAACACTCCACAGCTGCAGACTTAGGCTGAATGGTTTAATAACTCCTAGACCAGTTTTTCCAAATTACAAACATCAGTCACCATCATTCATTTGATTTCCAAGGGCTAGATCATTAAATGGCAACAAATTATGTACTGTCTTTTCATCCAGTGTCTTGTCCCTACAGGTTAAAAGACCACATCAGATATTCTTAGCTCTTACTTAGTGAAAGCTCCTCTGCTCTAGTGTAGTGACATGTCACAGGATGGGCTGTCACTAGTGAACACAACAGAATTTATGGGTTTATAGTTTTGGGACTAACGGCTTAAGCCTGAGTTACTTTTTCACCTTGTCCTCAACTGGGGCATGATTCTCTCTCATGAATCCTTGCCCTGTCATGCCATGGCACAGTGTCTGTCACGGTGGTTACCCAGGAGCTCCACGCAGGTTCCATCACCTACAGCATACCCCTTGGCAAACTGCACCCAACAGAAGCTACACCCAATCTTCCTATGCTGCATGATGTTTAATCTTATCTAGAAAATAAGACACCAAGCCAAGAAAAGAAGGATTTGAATACAAAACGTGAGTCAGTTTGTCTTCCCTAAGGGTTTCTCGTGCTGCATTAGGAGCCTTTGTCTCCTGGAAGCTTATGAATCGTTGCAGCCCGAGGCAGTTCTGGCCTCTTGTAACCTTGCTGTGAAACCTCCAGGTTTGAGCCTCTTGAGGGAAGATGGTCTTCAGGCTCAGCATTGGGATGAGTTACAGCAGCAAGGTAAACATGCAGGAAATGCAAACCAGAAGGAGTTGTATCTTCCCTCCTGTGTGCCTCTCCTGACAAACCTGGAATGGAGCCCATTAATCTGATGCTGTGGTCAGTGTAATTAAACAAGTCACAAAAAAAAAAATAACACTAAGGTGTTATAGTCAAGCACAGACAAAAACAAGGAAATGCAAACCCATTCTGTGCGTTT